CCTCACCCCTTCTCCACCTGCTTTTCCCTCACTGTCTCCTCCCCTCCTCACCCCTTCTCTCCACCTGCTTTTCTGATCATGAAACGCAGTCGCCATGAGGCCAGTGTGCTGGTGATGTCTGGCCCACCCACTGCTTTCCTGCCTTTCAGAACTGGTTGGGTTACACCAAGAAGAGAGCACCCATTGGCTTCCATCGAGTCGTGGAAATTTTGCACAAGAACAGTGCCCCCGTCCAGGTAATGGCTCTGAAAAAGAGCTAGTGGTGGGGACCTGAGCTGTTCCCATTTCCTTAATGGTAGCACTGTGGCTGTGCTGGGCCTTGAGATAGAAAAGGGCAGCTGGGAGCCTTCCTTTACAAGTACTCTGAGACCTTAGAGGGGCGGCTACTGTGTCTAGCGATATGGAGAACTGTGCACTGTTCCAGGATTCAGGAGCATTGCTTGTAGGCAAGGACGTCAAGGGACATGAGGCATGCCCTGAACCAGCTCTAGGGCACTGCCTAGTGGTCTGTGTATCTGGACTGCTCTTCCCTTTTCTTTTTTTCCCATGTCCCTTGAGGCAGCAGGGACATGCTGCCAAGCATCACCTCATTTCCCACTGCGGAACTATGGTTCATAATGGCAGTCGCAGACATGGGGTATTGAATTCTTCCTTCTTTAGAAATTGTTTTTTCTGCCTAGGGAGCCCTGTGTTTTCATCATTAATCAGAGCACTTTCTCCCACAGATCCTGCAGGACTATGTCAACCTGGTGGAAGATGTGGACACAAAGCTGAACTTAGCTACTAAGCTCAAGTGCCATGACGTTGTTATTGATGTGAGTCCCCAAGGAGAGAACCCTGAGTTAGGTCTGGGTGGAGAGTTGGGGATACAACATTTGCCCCAGATCCCGAAATGCTCCCAGCCGTTTTGACTGAATGGACAAAATAGTCTGGCAAGAATCAGTTTGGAGACCAACACCCTTGTATTGTTTTCACAGTCTTCCAACTGAGTTCTGTCAGCTTTTAGGTCGAATTTGGAGTCATTAGAACTGAATTGAGCTGTGTAAGGTCTGTGGCCTTCTCTCCAGCGAGGGGTTCTGTGGGTGCTTTACCCGAAGAGCCCAGGGGCAAAGGACAGTGGCAGAAGGAGTGAGCCCCTCATAGAGAGGCTGAGTAGGGAGTTGATTGTGTTTTGGTGCGCAGACCTGCCGCGACCTGAGGGACCGCCAGCAGTTGCTTGCCTACAGGAGCAAAGTGGATAAAGGATCTGTTGAGGAAGAGAAGATCGATGCCGTCCTCAGCAGTTCGGTGAGCAGCCCCGCTTACCCTCTGGTGAGCCCAGGAGACCGTTCAGAAAATAGCGTCAAGTGTAGGCTCCCAGGACCAGGCAGGGCACTTAGCCAAGCCACGTGGATACAGGACTCATCTGTGTAGTGAAGGAGCAGAGACACCGTTTTGAACAGCAGAAGTCACCCTTGAGATACGAAATGATAGAAGAATAACCTGACGACCTCAGCATGAAGCTTAGCTGTGATTGCTGGTTATTGTTAGACCTAGTACCTAGGAACTACAGAGCACATGATATGGACTCCATGTCCAGGCTGTATGTTCCCTCTAGGACATGCTTGTGACCTGCCTGTTGGAAATAAGAAGGGAATGAGATGGAATTAGTTATTTGGGAAGTTCAGCTGGTTATCTCTCACGGGATGAAATCACTGAGCTTTCCGTTAACATAGAACTTAGTATTAGGAATTTTGACACCTCTGCTTGGTCACTAGTAAATCTCTGCAGTCAAGAGGCCAGAGCCAGGTTAACACTCTAAACCAGCAGTCTGTAAAATACAGAACAGGTATTTAATCTATCTCTGAATAAATGAACTTTCACATACTAAAAGGAAAAATCTTCTTGGGGCTAGGTAGATCATTTAATCAATAAAGTACTTGCCTTGCATACACAAGGATCTGAGTCCAGTGCCCAGCACTCACCTAAAGGCTGGGCATGATGGCATGTGCTTGTAATCCCAGCACTAGGGAGGAAGAGTGAGCTTCCCTGGGGCTCACTGGTCAGCTAGCCTAGCCTAACTGGTAAGTTCCAGGCTAGTGAGAGATCCTGTCTCAAAAAAAACAAGGTGGGTAGCATCTGAGGAATGATACCCAAGCTTGACCTCTGTCTTTAACACACATGTACACACAGAGAGTTAAAAATAACCTTTACTGATGCGTCTACAATCCTGACCCTTGGGAGGCTAAGGCAGGGAGATCAGGAGTTTGAGGTTAGCCTGGGATATACACTGAGTTCCAGGCTAGTCTGGGCTACATAGACACACCCTATCCCAAACCACAAAACTCAGCAGCCCTTATTCCCACTCCCCTCCTTCATTGTAGTGATGAGTGAAAACTGATCGCACCTTGTGTGCTTTTCCCCAGCAAATTCGGTGGAAGAACTGAGGGTCGGTGGCTGTCCCGAAACCTGCCTCACTTCCTACTTCTCTGCCTGTGAAGATAGAGTGCGCTCTCCTTGGGGGAGTCCCAGCATTCAGCCACGTGAGCCTGACACCCGCAGGCAGGGCCTGCTGCTTTGGGGACAGAGACCAGCATCTGAGCCCATGAACTTGAGGCTGGTCTGTCCCAGGGATATTATCTAAAAGCCGGTACCTAAGGCTTTGACTCACAGCAAAGCCGCTCTGCACCCGGTGCTGTGGAGAGGTGGGAGCCCATCCTGGCTAAGATGTCTTGGTCAGAGAAGTGACTGCCCCAGAAGGACATCTGAACCAAGAGCTACAGTGTCGCAGGGCGGTCAAGACATTCCCTCTCAGCCATTCTGACCCAGGACCTGGTGTGAGACATGGGCATTTCTGCTCTAAAGGATGTCAGAACTAAATGGACTCTTCAGGAGCCTCAGGAAGGAATACGAGTATTGCTCAGGACCTGCTGGAAACCAGACTCAAATTCTCAAGCACAGGGCCACCCATCTTATGACAGACGCTTCCTAGACGTGGTATCTTCAGCCAGTGTCCATCCGCTGTCCTTTTGTTCATAGCTTAGGGTCCCACTCTCCCCTGCACACTGTCCGTGTGGTGCGCCATCTGCTTCCCCCGTCCCCTCCTTCGGTCTTGGATGCAGTCTTACATGGGATTCGGATCCACCAGTGCTGGAGCACTCATCTTTTATGCAGACATCACTTCACCAGAAGCAGCCACAAGTCTCACCTGAGCTAATGTGGCAGAACTTCACCTGGCTATCTCAACAGAGGTTTTGTTCCCCACTTGGCCTGCTGGGGACCTCAGCAGTGTTAGGTTCTGCCCTGTGCCTCCCTGAACTGGATTTCCCTGACATGCCTACACTCCTAATAAAACTGTTGCAGTCTTGGTGCCCTCTCTGCCCTCTCTGGTTACTTAGTGCAGGATGTGTCTTGTCCGCAATGTGACTGCCCTCGACCGTCAGCACACCACATAGTGTGACAGTGTCACAGCCAGGCAGGAGTGGGGGGTTAATAGCAGCACCAGTCCAAGACAGAAGGCCTGACTCCCCCGCTCTGCTGCTGACAATCCAGGGCCAGGGAGTCCTTAGTCTGGGGACCCGTCTTCATCTGCAGAAAAGCAGCACCGTAGTCTGTGACTAACGTTCTACACTCATGACAAGTGCGTGGAGTGGTAGGAAAATGGATAATGCACACAGCACACAGCTGGCTGTAGTCTAAGACAGTGTGCTTCTTAGCTGGAGGCACTTTGGGCCTGCAGGAAACATTGGGCAATAGCTGAAGGCACTTTCCATTGCTGTACTTAGGGGCATGTTGGTAAATATCCTGTTATGTGCAGAAAAGGCCCCCACAGCAAAGGATTATCCTGCTTATAACTAACAGCTGTGTTACTCCTGCTTCAGAGCTGGGTAAGGTGCTGGCCGCCAAGTCTGAAGAGCTGGATCTGATCTCAGGTCCCATATGGTGGAAGCCGAGAACTGACGCCCACAGTTGTCTTGTGACCTCATATTTGTGTGTACACACGCATACACATGTTAAATGAAAGAATCTGCTTTCAAGGGATCAGATCCCTTCTGCATTTTGCAACCCTCTACAGTTCCAGGGAGCCTCATACTCTGTTACTTTCCTGAGTCTCCTTTTCACTCTTGTAGAAGTGGGTTTCATTTGCTGGTACAGCAGACTTCAGACGAGAGGCAGAGCCACCAGGGGCGCAGATAGGTTGTGTCTCCCCCAACCTCACCACATACTTCATGACAGGTCCAGATGATGGCTGACAGTCGGTATGAAGTGGTCGCTTTTGTGTCGGGTGCTAGAGTTTGAACTTCACAAGGGAAGCAGTGAGGCAGGGGAGATGCTGTACCATGGGGGACGGCAGGGCTGGAACCGAGAGTTACTGCCTTAGTCAGGGCTACTGCTGCGATGGCCAGGACCAGAGAAACTCAGGGAGGAAAGGGTTTATTCAGCTTACACTTCCATATCACTGTTCACCAAGGAAGTCAGGCCAGAAACTCAAACAGTGCAGGAACCTGGAGGCAGGAGCTGATGCAGAGGCCATGGAGGGGTGCTGCCTTCTGACTTGCTCCTCATGGCTTGCTCAGCCTGCTTTTTTTTTTTAATGGAACCCAGGACCACCTAGCCTGGGGAGGACACCACTCACAATGGGCTGCTCCCTCCTCCATCAATCACTAATTAAGACAATGCCTTACAGTCTTGCCTACAGCCAAATCTTTTTGTTTGTTTGTTTTTCAAGACAGGGTTTCTCTGTGTAGCTTTGCGGCTTTCCTGGAACTCACCCTGTAGCCCAGGTGGGCCTCGAACTCACAGAGATCCGCCTGTCTCTGCCTCCCAAGTGCTGGGAGTAGAGGCGTGCGCCACCACCGCCCGGCTCTACAGCTGAATCTCTTGGAGGTATTTTCACAACTGAGGTTCCCACCTTTCAGACAACTCCAGCTTGTGTCAAGTTGACGTAAAACTAGCCAGCACAGTTCCGGAGTAGGATGCATACCTCCAACCTTGATAGAGTAATATCCTGCAGGAGCAGTTGGGTGTTGTCACAGAGTTGAGGATCACCTGGTCCAGGAGTGAGCAGGGAAAGGAGGATGCGGGAACAGGCGGAGCTGTTGCAGGTCTAGCTGCTGACCTACACCAAGGAAGCAAGTCAGAGAAGTAATGATGTGGCCTTGCAAGCTGGAACAGGAACTGGCTGCCGTTTCATTTTCACATTCTAGATTCTTCACAAAAACACTCCTTGTGGTCCCTCTAACCAGAAACACAAAAGAAAGGGATTCTGGAAAGCAGTTGAGTCTAACCAAGTTGCCAGGTCACAAAGCTATAACTCTGAATTCTCATTTTTGAGGATGTACAGATAAATGCCTAGGACTCAGGTCTGCAGGGGCTGTGTTGGTCATGCAGGTCTGGCAGGTTTTGAGTTCCTCTTTCCTTTGGAACAGGCAACTTCGCTTGCAAGAGTAGGATGTGAGCGCTACGATGTCACATTCCTGTAAGAGGGATTGGAGAAGCCAAGCATAAAAAGTGACAAGTGGCACAATTATTTTTTAATGAATTACCTGAAATATGTAAATCCATATGTAGGAAACAGATTGGTGACTCCAGGAGGTTGGAAGTGGGAAGGAATTGGGAGTAATTGCTTAATGCAAATAGGATTTCTTGCTGTGGGGTATAAAAATGTTTTTGAAATAGAGGTAGTCACACAACATTCTGAATGTAATGAAGAACTGTTCGTTTTAGAATGAGTAATTTTATGTTACATGAAATACACCTAGATTTCTTTTTAATCTAATGAGATTTAGAGACTGGGTGGTTTTAAACTCTGATTTCAGCCTTTATGGCTACGAGATTGATTATTGAACATAAAAAGACAGGGTAGTGCTAAGGGCTAGAATGGGTAGAGTGCTTGCCCAGCAGATGCCAGGCTCTGGGTTCAGTCCTCAGGGTCTCACATTCCTTTACGGAGTGTTATGGTACATTTCTGGAGTCTCAGCTTCCTAAGATAGCAGATCAGGGCGATCACACTTGATGAGTCACCGTCTCAGAAAGGGACTTGGGGTTATTGCCCAGCATGCACAGATCCTGGTTCAATCCCAGGTACTGGGGCGGGGGGAATCATTAAATAGCTATCTGTTTTTTTGCTGTTTTTGTTTGGTGTGTGTGTGTGTGTGTGTGTGTGTGTGTGTGTGTGTGAGAGAGAGAGAGAGAGAGAGAGAGAGAGAGAGAGAGAGAGAGAGAGAGAGAACTTTATGGAGGATTCTCTTTCCACCTTTAGGTGGGTTTAGAAATTGAACCCAGGTCGCCAGGCTTGCAAGGTGAGTACCTTTACCCACGTAGCATCTCACGGGTCCTGTCATTTACTTTTTTTTTTTATAGCAGTGCTAAAATCTATATGATACTCTAATCTGGAAGAAAAAAAATAGAAATCCAGAATCTTCTGTTGGGAAAAATAAGTTCCTCCCTGGCCTGGGATAGCATTCCTACAAGTAGTGAAAGGAACTGTGTCCTCCTCACACTCAGACCAGGGAAGTTTGTAGATGTGCCTTGCTCCTTTAAGACCAGAGGGGAGAATGAACTGGTTGCTAAGGAGTCATAATGACAATTCTCTTGGGTGGCTCGCCTCACATATATCGTTTTCACCTGCCCAGGCTAGAAGTCCCGAGGAATAGAGCGTATATCTCTGTTTGTTAGTGAGAGATGCATGTAAATGGGTTTGTATATGTCTAGGTCTATTTTCTAAAACTGAAGTGCCCATGCTCTAGCCAAGAACTCTTTTCTGCCCTACAGGGAACACAGAGTTTACTTAAAGTGGAGATTTTCTTTGAAGTGAGGTTCTGTGTGATTAGCCATATTTCCAAAGCCCACAGAATGGAAGGGAAAAGCTCCCAGCTAAGAACACCTCTGAAACCTGTCACTATCCTAATTCCTGCTGAAAATGCACCTCTAGCCAGCATGGATCAATGTTACTGAGAATTCCTTTTCAGGTTTCCTGAATCCAGGATTCATGACCCATAGTTATTAGGAAGCCTCAGTGGTCCCACTCAAATAGAGATGTGAACTCCAAGTTCAGAATCGGGAAGGAGAGTGGTGCTGAAGCCCACCATCATGAGGACTCATGACCTAGTCACACACACCCCATCCTATTTAAGCCTTTGTGCCTAAACCCCTCTTCTCCAGGGTAGGGAGTCACGTTGCTTGGTATCTGTCACTGCAGGAGAGCGTGGTTTGGAAATGAATATACTAGAAGACCTTGAGTCCCTGAAGTTTGAGTATGGGATTCCAGAGGAGGAGCGGTACTGGCTGTACTTGCAGGGACGGTATCGGGGATTGATGATCAAAGGCTGTGCCCATGCACTCTTCTTTTGCAAACTGTTCTGTACTTTGAGGTAAGCTAGTTGAAAAAGAAAGACCATCATCACTGCTGGGAACCCAAGGGACTTGCGCTTTGTATATTGGAGGTTAAATCTGGCGGGAAATTTTTTTTTTAACCTTTCCAATCCACAATCAGTCACTTCTGATCTGAAATGACTAGCAAAATTCACTCAAGGATATTTTGTGTTTACATAGTAAACTTGGATTAGTGGTGACTTCTAGCCAGAGGGCAGCTGATACATTGCATTCATTCATTCATTCATTCATTCATTCATTCATTCACGCATTTACTCAGACTACCAGCTTGCCTTCCACAGCACTGAGGACCGGTCATCCCTTGTCAGTTGCTTCAGACAGAGGCAGTTCTTTCTTCTGAGACTGACCTAATAGTTGACAGGAACAGCTGCAGGAAATCAGGAACACATGAACAAGTAAGAATATTGACAAAGAGAAACTACGAAACCAATCAGGTTCTGGAAAGCAGTAGGAAATGAAAGAATTCACCAGGGGAATTCAGCATCAGCAATGACCAAGCAGATGGAATCCGTGAACTCAAAGATGGGTCAGCTGAAGGTATTAGTAAGAACAAAAAGAAAAAAATGAAGGGAAACATTGCAATCAAATTGCCAAGTATAAATAATTTTGAAAGCAAGAAAAAAAAAGGCAACTCATGTACAATGTAACTTCCATCGTGTTGAAACAAACACTGTTTTTAAGTAGATTTGATAAGATATTAAAGCAAAAACTCCTAAGGGACAAAGAATGGAATTGTCACAATGATAAAAGGCCATTTACGGCCATCGTTGCGGCATCCAGACAGACGGTCAAAAGGGGAAGAGCAGACAGGAGGATGCAGGGGACCGATGGGAGCCTCACAGGCAAAGCGGGACACTCCACTCAGAAGCAGGAGAACACGTACGCTCTTTGTGTGCTGTTTGGTCTGCTCTACTTGGACAGGGTCTCTCTCCGAAGCCAGCTTTGAATCTTCCTGCGTTCGCTTTCTGAGTGCTGAGATTTCAGAAAACATTCCTCAGTACCCCTGGAACATCTTGGAGGTAGGTCGGCTACATATGACCACAAAACAAGCATTAACGCACTTAGGATTATTAAAGTCGTACTTAAAAATATACCAGAATTCAGGCTGGGTGTGTTGACACACACTTTTAATCCCAGAACTCTGGAGGCAGAGGCAGGTGGATCTCTGAGTTTGAGGTCAGGCTGGTCTACAAAGAGAGTTCCAAGACAGCTAGCACTATACAGAGAAAGCCTGTCTCAGGAAAAAACAACCACCACCACAAGTTCAGTCACTAGGAGGCGGGCTTTAAGGTCTCAGATGCTCAAGCCATGCCCAGTGTGCACTCTCTTCCTGTTGTCTGCCGATCTGGATGTAGAACTCTCAGCTACCTCTCCAGCACCATGTCTGCCCCCATGCCACCATGCTTCCTGCCATGATGACAACCTCTGACTGTGAGTCAGCCCCAATGAAATGTTTTCCTTTTTAAGAGTTGCTGTGGTCATGGTGTCTCTTCACAGCAATAGAAACCCTAAGAAAGACAGTAAGGTGGCTAAATTGTCTGCCTCCACCACAGGCTCTGGAATCAGTCAGAGACCTTAGCTCACTAAGGTGAAGGTCAACCAAAGAAGATACCCAGCATCAACCTTGGTGTGCAAGCATATGTACACACCTGTACGTGCAGCACACACACACACACACACACACACACACACACACACACACACACACAAACTCTTGCAAAAAATTGAAGAGGGAACATTTTCAAACTTATTTTAGAGAACAGCATTACCTTAATACCCAAAGTCAAAGATACTGTGAGAAATCTACCAACCAATACCCACTACTGGTGAGTATTGATGCGAATATCTTCAACAAAATGTTAGCTAGCTGAATTCAATATTACATTAAATAATGTAATTATTTAGATACATTAGATAATGCACCATGAACAAGTGGAGGTCATCCCGGGAAAGCAAGGATGCTTCAACATGCAAAATCAGTCAATGTGTAACACACTGACGTAAAGAAGGTTGACTGAGGTAAGATCTCTTTGGTCTAGGTTTTTGTTCTCAGTGATGAAATAATTTATAGATGTAGACAAAAGACGAGCAAGCAAAGATTCATTTGGAAGAGGAAATACTTGAGAAAGTGAAAGGGCGAGCAACCTTAAGTGTGAGGACCACACTTCGAGTCTTATGGACTCGGATGTTGAGAAGAGAAAATGGAATGTTTAGTAGGAATCATTTGACTGGCTCGACCTTTTTTTCTTTTCTTTTCTTTTTTTGGGGGGTAGGGTGGGTTTTCAAGGCAGGGTTTCTCTGTGTAACCACCTGACTGTCCTGGAACTCACTCTGTAGACCAGGCTGGCCTTGAACTCACAGAGATCCTCCTTTCTCTGCCTCTTGAGTGCTGGGATTAAAGTAGCTCCACCTTTTGTGATCCTTAATGTCATATAACTTTTCCTTGGGCATACTACTACTGTCTCCCAGTTTATCATTTCCATTATCTATAACATATACCTGATGACCTAATCTCGGTTGTCAGCTTGACTATCTGGAATCAGCTGGAACCCTAGCTGCTGGGCACTGCTGGGAAGGATTATCTTAATCCAATGATTTGGAGCAGGGAGACCCACCTCATATCTGGGCCACATCTGGTGGCCGTGCTCGTAAAAGAGCAGGGAAGAAGGAAACGTGCTTTCTGTCAGCTAGCCCTCACTCCCACTCCGAAGTTTGTTCATTCTTGTGGTGTGGCCACGTTAAATCCAGCTTCTTCAGGATTCTGATGTTGACTGAAGACCAGAGGCTCTGCAGGAATCCTCCTCCGGGGCCAGGTTTGGACTGCGGAGATATCTGGACTGATGGACGAAATAGCTATTAAGTTTTCTGCCTTGCTGTTGTGAGACAGCCATTGTTGGACTACCAAGACCACATTCTGTAAGCCAGTCTAATAAGTCACACACACCACACATGCATGCACACACACACTAATGTATACATATGTTGATTCTGTCAGTTCTATTCCTTTAGAGAGAACCCTGAGACCCTTTCTTTAAAAAATAAAAATTGGAGCCAGGAGGTGATAGTGCATACTTTTAATCCCAGCACTCGGGAGGCAGAGCCAGGCGGATCTCTGTGAGTTTGAGGCCAGCCGGGTCTACAGAGCGAGATCCAGGACAGGCACCAAAACTACACAGAGAAACCCTGTCTCAAAATAATAATAATAATAATAATAATAATAATAATAATAATAATAATAATTGCTGTTGTTGTGGGATATTTGATCTCACTGTGACACTCCAAGACTGTTAATAACATTAACCTTGAATGGGGGAAACCAATGACCAGCTGACTGGAATTAGCCACAGAGAAGCTAAGAATTTGGACAGAGAAGATGATAAAGAAGGAAAGGGTGGGGTTAGAGTCTGGAGCTTCTTTTGGTTTGGGGACAAGCTGCTTCTCAGCTTCTCTGATCCAGCAGGTTTTCACCCTCACATCTGACTTCTGAGTCTTTGTTGGTAAATAGAAGGACACAGACTTCATTTAAACCTACATATGGCAAGTGCAGGCCACAGGCTGGGTGGCCAGAAGGGCTCTGACTGTGGGCTTCTGGGGCTGCAGATGATAATTAAAATATCAGTAGCTTCATGTGCAGCCACTAAGCTGTCAGAAAAAGACATAACAAAACAAAACAAAAAACCCACTTGGGAGGCAGAGGAGGTGGATCTCTGTGAGTTTGAGGCCAGCCTGGTGTACAGAGTGAGTTCCAGGACAGCTAAGGCTATACACAAAGACCCTGTCTCAAATAAACCAAGATAAATAAAAAAAATAAAAATCTAGTATATATAAAGACATCCTGCAACTCAGCAATAAACTCAATTACCTGATTTTTAACCTAAGACTTCTTCAAAGAGTGTATAGAAATAATCAACAGATATATGAAAAGATGCTCAACATTGACAACCATCAGAAAAATGCAAATCACAACTACAATGAGATCTTCCTTTGTACCTGTTATGATAACCACTACTGGAGCACCAGAAATGAACAAGTTTGGGTAAGGACATCGAGAAATTGGAACATTTGTTCAATGTTGGCAAGAGTGTAAGAAGTAAAGTTACTATGAAAGAAAAACATAAAACTGCATAAGATCAAGCAATCCCATTTCTGGGTATGCACCCTAAGAATTCCCAGAGATGTTTGTATGCCCATGTTCATTGCAGCCTCATTTAACCTATCCAAGATGTGGAAGCAATTTAAATGTCCATTGATGATGAATGGGTGTGCTGGTTAATACTGTCAACTTGACAGGACCAAGAACCATCTAGATTATCTAGAGTAGGTCAACTGTGGTGGAAAGGTCCCGTTAACCTGTGAGTGGCAGCATGCCATGGGCTGGGTCCCGGATGGAATAAAAAGGAGACAATGAGCTGAGTGCTAGCACTCATCATTGATTACTGATAGTAGATACCACGTGACCATCTCGGCAAGATCCTGCCACCATGAGTTCTTTGCCATGATCAACTATACCCCTCCACGATGAGAAGAAGAAGAAAAAGAAACCTTGTGGTTTGAATAAGAATGGTCCCCATAAGCTCGTATGTTTGAATATTGGGTCTCCAGCTGGTGGAACTGTTTGAGAAGGATAAGGAGGTGTGGCCTTGTTGGAGGAGCTGTGCCAATGGTGGGTGGGCTTTGAAGTTTCAAAAGACTCAAGCTAGTCCCGGTTAGCTCTCTTTCCTGTGGGTCAGGATGTAAGTGCTCAGCTACCGCTCCAGTGCCTGCTTGTCTACTGCTGCCGTTCTCCTCACCATGATGGTCATGGGTTCTAATCCTCTGGGACCATGAGCCCCAAATCAAACCCTTTCTTTTATATAAGTTGCCTTGGTCATGGCATTTTACCATAGCAATAGAAAAATAACTAAGTTAGCTCTCAAGATACTTTTGCTAGGTATCACAGTAACGAGACGATGTAATGGATATATAATGGCTAATATAATGGATAAGCAAACTGTGTTATATATGTCAGGAGTAGTGGCTCACACCTGTAATCTCAGCACTCAGAGGCAGGGAAATCGGGAATTTAAGTCCAGCCTGGGCTATGAGACTCTCTCCAAAACAAAACAAAACAAATCGCATTAGATACATATGTATCTATATACATATGTATATACATAGGTACTATTCGACCTCCAGAAGGAAATTTTATAAACTATGAATTGGATGAAGCTTGAGGACACGATCCTGGGTGCAAAAATGTTAACGCTGCACGATTCTGCTTAGATGGCTTAGTTAAAGTTTTTTAAGTTTTAAAGTTTTTCTGGCTAGAAAACCAACAGCAAGTAAAATGGTAATTTCCAGATGTGAGGATGGGAAGTGAGCTGTTCAGGAATATAAAGTTTCTGTTTTGCAAGGATGCAAAGGGTCTAGATATCAGTTGCATAGCAATATGCATAGATTCAAACATACTGTGTACTGAAGACAGTGATGATACAGTCTAGTTGACAGCTGTCTGCCCAGAAAATAGACCATAAAGTTAAAAGAATTGGTCCATGGTGTGCTATACGTCACCATATGATGTATAGCAATCAGTGATGTTCAAAGTTAATAAAATACGAGATATACAGACCCCGTGTTTAAGGTCCCAGGAAAATTAAAGATACATAAAACAAAAAAAAATTTCATTGGTAAGTATTTTCACCCAGTTTCATCCCTTGGAAAAGCAATGTGCTTTTTCAGGATGAAGGTTTTGTTCCCTAGTAAGGCTACAGCCTTGCTATAAATGGCCTCCAATTGAAATGCCTTGTTTCTGAAGTATTACATCATCAGGCTTCTACATGAAACGAAACAAAACAAAACAAAACACCAAAAATCATTCAACTTCGAGACTCCTGGGGAAAACTACAATGTGTACATGCATTTGTGTGTCTTTGTTCATTCTCTAGAGAATTATTACAAGAGGGTCGGCGCAAAATACATCCTCGATCTGTATCATTTGATGCCGCCATTGCTGAGGATGAGAAGTTGAAGGTGGGCATCATTGGATGCGGCCACCTTGGGAAGCAGCTGGTTAACGTACTGCTGAGACTTGTCCCCATCCCTCCTGAGAGCCTGCAGATCTCCACTCGGAGGCCAGAGTCCCTGGGTGAGGAGCACTGAGTGTTAGACCATAGATAGGAGGCTGGTGGCACTAACAAACCTATTTTGAAAAGGTCCCTTTAAAGCAGGGTTCTCTGCTTGCTGGCCTGAAAATTTGAACTTGTTAAGACAATTTTTCTCCACTTACTTATGTCTGCTTCTCCTCCCTGTGACCTGGGTGCAAATAATCTTTCTGGGTATGAGATACGGGGGAGTTTTCCATATACTATTCAAGTCTAACTGGAGTATTAGAGTCTGGAAAAAAGGTCAACGAATATTTGTATTTGGCCTTATATTTAAAAAATGACATCTGAATATGAAAGTACAATGGTTTCAGTTATTGATCAGTGTGATAGAATTAAGAACAGTGATTGTTTCTGAGGAGATGGACTGCAAAATGACCTGTAAGAACTTTCTGGAGAGAAGAAAATGTTTTCTATTTAGAGTAGCAGTTCTCAACCTGTGGGTCACAACCCCTCTTGGGGGTCAAATGATCTTTTCATAGAGGTCACCTAAGGCCATTGAAAAATATACTTACATTATGATTCATAACAGCTGTAAAATTATAGATGTGAAGTAACAACAAAAATAATTTTATAGTTGGGGGTCACCACAACATGAGGGACTGTATTAAATGTTCTCAGAATTAGGAAGGTTGAGAAGGAAATATGGGCTGCATAGATGTATGCACTTAACCAAAACTGTTCAAACAATATCCTTCAGAACTCTGTGTGGTACTGTATGTAAATTATACTGCAATAAAATGCAAAATAACAGTGAAAAGTAGTATGCATATTGTAGAAAAATTACTTTTTTTTTTTTAAGATTTATTTAATTACATATACAATGTTCTGCCTGCATGTATTCCTGCAGGCCAGAAGAGGGCATCAGATCTCACTATAGATGGTTGTGAGCCACCATGTGGTTGCTGGGAATTAAACTCGGGACTTCTGGAAGAGCAGCCAGTGCTCTTAACCTCTGAGCCATCTCTCCAGTCCTGAAAAATTACTCTTGAAGGAAGAATAATTACCCATATTCTTCATTTATTTTCTATTTGGTTTTTCATGACATAGTTTCTCTGTGTAACAGTCCTGGCTGTCCTGCTCACTTTCTAGACAAGGCTGGCCTTGGACTCACAGACCCATATGCTTCTTAACTAGGCTATTGTCTGTCTTTCTTTCTTTCTTTCTTTCTTTCTTTCTTTCTTTCTTTCTTTCTTTCTTTCTTTCTTTCTTTCTTTCTTTCTTTCTTTCTTTCTTCTCCTCCTCCTCCTCCTCCTCCCCCTCCTCCTCCTCCTTCTTTTTGAAAGTTGTAGCTAGAGTTTTTCTCTCCAGGTCCCGCCAAGCCCCGGCAGTCCTGTAGTCCACTTATAAAGTAAACATACAGACGCTTATATTATTTAAACTGCTTGGCCATTAGCTCAGGCCTACCATTGTCTAGCTCTTACTCTTATACTCAGCCCATTTCTGTTAATCTATATGTTGTCACATGTTCTGTGGCTTTACCTGCTGCCTTTACATGATGCTCCCTGGACGGCAGGCTGGCGTCTCCTCCTCTCTGCCTTCCTGTTCTCTCAATTCTCCTCTCTGCTAGTCCCGCCTATACTTCCTGCCTGGCTACTGGCCAATCAGTGTTTTATTTATCAATCAATCATCCACAGCAGAAAGTATATCAGAAATTGATACTGTACCTAACTGTATCCTGGTTTTTGACTTTTGCATTGGAAGTGCATTCTGTATCACTTAACATTCTTTAAAAGAAAGATTTTTAAGCCTAATCACTGCCCCACAGTTGGCATTGAGAGCACAGCCCTGTGTCTCTGCCTCTACCAGGGTGTGCTTGCTGCCCAGGCGTCTGGGCATTTTGGTGCTGAGTTGTGTGTGTGTGTGTGTGTGTGTGTGTGTGTGTGTCTGGCCGAGCTGCAGCTGTGAATGAAGGCTGCTCTGTGCTCCCCCTCTCCACCCCTTTATTTTCTTCTCAGGATTTAACATTGATTTCCATACAAGATTAATCTTATCACAAAAAAAGGTGATTTTAAGATCATGTAACATTCCTTAATAATCATAAATATATTAAAAAGGGCTGTGAGGTGGATCAGCAGATTAGGGCACCTGCTGCTAAGCCTGAAGACCTGAGTTCAAGCCCTGGGACCCACAGAGTAGAAGGAGAGAATGATTCCTACAGGTTGGCTTCTGACCTCTAATGAAATACCACAGAATTCTCTCTCTCTCCTCTCTCCTCTCTCTCTCTCTCTCTCTCTCTCTCTCTCTCTCTCTCTCTCTCTCTCTCCTCTCTCCCTCTCTCTCTCTTTCTCTCTCTCTCTCACACACAGCCACACACAAGTAAGTGTAAAAAAATTTTTTTTAAGTATCTTGCAGTATCCCAAATCATAGGTAGCCCTTATTTAGTTGACTATCCCCACACATAATTTTCAAAACAAAGTTCGTAGGTTGACCAATAGGTACATATTTATTAAAATATTACTTGCACACAACAAACTGCACCCAGAATGTACAGTTTGGCGTTTTGACACACATTCACCCAGGAAACCATAAACTCAACATAATGAACAAATCCATCACCTCCAAAAGTTGCCCTTAACTGACCTTTATGTCCTGTCTCTCTCTCTCTCTCTGCCTTCCTGTAAACTCCTCTCCCCCACCACTTCACACACCAGTGGCAGTTCTTTTTTTAAATTTTATTTACTCATTTTTGTATGCACACGGAGATCAGAGATGGGTGTTGGGGATCTTCCTCAGCCACTCCTCAACTTAGTTTTTGAGACAAGTTCTCTTGATGAACCTGGAGCTATTTAGTTCAGCTAGCCTGGCTGGCCAGCAAGTCCCAGGGATGCTATGGTCTTCCTCTTCCCAGAGTGGGATTGGAAGTGTGCACTGCTGTGACCGCCTTTCTGTGTGGGTTCTGTGGAGCTGAGATCAGCTCCCCACACTGAGTCACCTTCCTGTTTAAAAGAAATTATGATTATGATTTCTATCACCATAAATTAGTTCACATTGTCTGGAATTTTATTTAACAGCACCATGCAGGACTTTTAAGTCTGATATCTTTTAATGTGTATTATTTTGATATATAACCATACCATTTTGCATATCAATACCCTCCTCCTTTTTTTCTTTTTTTTTTTCTTTTTTGTTTTTTTGTTTTTTTGTTTGTTTTTCAAGACAGGGTTTCTCTGTGTAGTCCTGCCTGTCCTGGAACTCACTCTGTAGACCAGGCTGGTCTTGAACTCACAGAGATCTGCCTGCCTCTGCCTCCTGAGTGCTGGGATGAAAGGGGTGTGTCACCATGCCTGGCATCTAGCTCTTCCTCCTTTCTAAGTAGTATTTTATTGCACGAGTATTACAGTTTTTCTATTTATTTGTTAATGTAACTTTCCCCCTAATTTTTGCTCACTGCAAATAAAACATCTATGAAGGCTTGTATACAAGTGTTCACGTGGAAATTCTACTTTGATTTTTTTTTTTCTTAAGCCAATGCCTGAAAGCAAAATGGCTGACTTGTTAAAGAAATATCCCACGCTTTGTTTTGTTAGACAGCTAATGCTTTTGCTTTGCAATTTAACCTGAAGAAAGTTCAGGTTTGAATTTTTAGCAATGTTGCGTAAGAACAGCCATTTCATTATATCATTTTTTAAAAAATCTTACTTATTTATATTTTATGTATGAGTTGTCTGCATGTACACCTACAAGCCAGAAGAGGGAATCAGATCCTATTATAGATGGTTGTGAGCCACTATGTGGTTGCTGGGAGTTGAACTCAGGACCTCTGGAAGAGCAGCCAGTGCTCTTAACCCCTGGGCCATCTCTCCAGCCCCTCATTATACCATTTTCAATACTTGAAACCATTCCTTAAGAAATATTTATTTTTACTCTATGAATATGATTGTTCTGCCTGTGTAACATATGCATTCATTTCCACTGGAAGCCAAAATCCCCTGGAATTGAAATTACAGATGATTGTGAGCTGTCATGTGGATGCTGGGAACTGAACCCCAGGTCCTGTGGATGAGCAGCCAATGCTCTTAACCCCTGAAGCATCTCTCCAGCTTGGGAAGCATTCTGAATGTCATCATTTTAATGTGTCTTTTAATTCTTTCTCTTTTTTTCCCCATGTTTCGATTTAAGGTTTCTCTGTGTAGCCCTGGCTGTTCTGGAACTTGCTCTGTAGACCAAAAGTTGGCCTCAAACTCACAGAGATCCTCCTGCCTCTGCCTCCCAAATGCTGGGATTAAAGGCGTGAGCCACCACTGCCCAGTTCAGCATCACTTTTAACATTTTTGGTCAGTGGGATGAGTGCTTACCTCTTGGGTAAAAAAAAAAAAAAAAATCTTTTGCATTCTGTTTTTCAGTAACTCTTAAAGCATACCAGATGGAAGTATACATTTTAAATTCTTACTTTGAGAAATCCATGTTGTAGTGAGGATAATCAAATAATTAAGTACCTGTGTGTTTAAAGCAATTGTATGACTTGTCATGTGCACAGAGACTTTTCCTCTACATTTATGAATGTCTTACAAAAGGTCTTGTATACCTTACAAAAACTATTGAACCTTCCACAGCGCCTCCCAGTGTCCGTTGTACATTCTCGAACGCTTCTAATTTCACCCACTACCTCAGGCCAGTAAGCTATCTAACTTTCAGTGAGCCACGCAGCATCCTGAAGCCTCGGTTGGTTCATCTGTAATATGGGAACCGCCCTCATTGGTCTCAGAGGATCCTCGCTGAGAGCTACCTTAAAGAATACATAGGAAGCACTTTATACACTATCTGGCAAGTGCTAGGTCTACAGTAAATGGAAGCAGAATGCTTCTTAGAGCATTCTTTTTTTCCCTAGCTTAAATTAAAAAAAAAATAATAAAATAAAAACACCCAGCATCTGTTCTAAAATCAAGACAAAAAGGAATCCTGCAACAACTTCCCACAGGGGAGGGCCCTTCTTTGCACAGCTCACAGAGGCACCCAGGAGCAGTTTCTGGTTGCTGTGGCAACGGGACTTAGGTTGCTTACTGGATACACAGTTACCACCATCCTCTCCCCACGTTTGACGTTCAGGTCCAATCTCTCTTCCTTTCTCCCTCCCTCCCAAGTTGAGTTCCAGAAACAAGGAGTCCGGTGCTTTTACGACAATCCTGCTGTGGCGAACTGGGCCAGCGTGTTGTTCCTCTGCTGCCTGCCCTCTCAGCTGCCTAACATCTGCTTAGAGATCCAATCCAAACTTGAGAAGACCTGCATCGTGTACAGCTTTGTATCTGCCATCCCGATACCCAGGTATCTTGTCGCACGGCATGAGACCAGAACGGCGCAGGCGCTGACTTCTCCTCCGCGTTCACTACCTGCCACCACCATAGCCCTACCTCTCGAAGTCAGTCATCCTCAGTAATAAGGAGGCAGCTGGAACTGAAGAAAGACCCAGCCAGCCTTTCTTACCGCCCACCCTCACCCCCAAGATTTTCACACAGACAACACTTAGGATCGGGATGTTTTCCCTGTCTAAAACGTTAATGGCATATTGTTTCCTAAGTACTCGCTCCCCACTCTGTGCATTAATGAGAAAACACAAAAAGCTACTAAAAATACATGTCAAATGTTATTTTTGTACTCTTGCATCTAGTCAAGAGCTAGGCACCTGATAACAACATTCAGCAAATATTAGGTGGATGGTTGAATAATCCAGTTAATCAGTGAGTGTCCCTAGTGCACACTCAGGGCCACATCTTGTTACCCGAGCAGCGCTGTGCAGGGGAAGGGGGCTGTTGTTTTGGCTTAGATGCGAATGCAGTAGATTGGATAGTCATTTTTTTCTTCCCAATCTGGCATTGTACTCCCTGTCTTTGTGGCTTCCAGGCTGAAACTTCTACTGAACCACACCAACATCTTGCGGGCCCAATATCACTTTGCTGAGGATATTGATGACATCTGGGGAGAGAACAAGGAAATCACAGCTGTTCTCCAAGATCCAGTGGTTCTTCGGGCTACCTGCCCCTACAGTAATGCGGGTAAATGCCCAACTGTGTAACTGTTGCTGACATTCTTTTGACAATTACCTTCCATGACTGGTGTGTGTGTGTGTGTGTGTGTGTGTGTGTGTGTGTGTGTGTGTGTGTACAAAGTAGATACATTCTTAGTTATTTGAGTTTGGTATGTGTCTTAGTTAGGGTTTCTATTGTTGTGAAGAGACACCATGGCCATGGCAACTCTTAGAAAAACATTTAGTTGGGGTGGCTTACATTTTCAGAGGTTTAGTTCATTATCATCATGGCAGGACATGGTGGCATGCAGGCAGACATGGTGCTGGAGAAGGAGCTGAGAGTCCTACATCTTGACCCACAGGCAACAGGAAGTGGTCTGTGTCACTGGGCATAGCTCAAGCGTAGGAGACCTCAAAGTCCATTCCCACAGTGACACATTTCCTCCAGCAAGGCCATACCTATTCCAAGAAGGCCACACCTCCTAATAGTGCCACTCCCTAAGAGCTTATAGGGGCCAATTACATTCAAACTACCATAGCACGAAAAGAGCTTGTGTGTGGGGGTGATGGGGGTGGATAAAAGCAGCTTTTCTTAGGCAGAGCTGAGAAGCCTAATATTTGGATCCTTCAGGCTGGACTAGAAACAACCAGGGAAAATAGCTCATGTGAACAATAGAATGAGCTGGGCTTGGGGGTACATGCCTATAATCCCAGCCTTGGAGAGGTGGAGACAGGAGAATCAGGGTATCAAGACTCGTTGGCTATATAACAAGCTTGAGGGCAACTAGAGCTACCTGTGAACCTGATTCAAACAAACAAACAAACAAACAAACAAACAAACAAACTCCGGAGAACGAAATGTCTGGGACAAAAAGAAAATGGGCTTCCTTCTCAACTTGCGGTATTTCCCAGTTCCTCCCTGCTGTGGGCAGGGACCATTCTGGAGATCCTTCTGCCATCAGCAGTGTGACTCAGCCCTCTCTGCTCCCCTCTGTGTGATCAGCACACGATGTGGCTGTGAAGGGCAAACGGGGCTCACGGCCCGGGAGGGAAGAGTGTCTGTCTCCTGGCTGTGTCGCCAATCGCTTTAGGGGAGAAGGTGGCCTGGCAGAGCCCGCCTCTGGGCTTTCCTCTGGGTTCCCTGCAGCTTGCTTTTGCAGATGCTCACGGCTACTTTCCTTCATGTCTAGGGGGAGTCATCCTCAACATCAAATGGCTGGAGGGGGTGTTCTATTCGGTCATCAATGTCTGCACCGCCAGGAACGTGTTCCACTCCCACGTGCTGCACATCCTCAACAAACTCTTTCTCTCCGTGCACCTGGAGAGCTGTGGGAAAGACAAATCGTCTTGCCCCAAATTTCAGCTAACAGATTTTATGAACAAGAGCTACGTCAAGAGCTTGTTTCATAAGAGGTAAGATGTCGAACATTTGGCCATTGGAATCTGTCCCACGGTTTTGTCTTAACAGATGCTTTTTAGAAACATTTCTTTTTTGGTGGCGGGGGGTGGGGGGTGGCAGCAAGCACCTTTATGTTTTTCTTTTATGCTTTCATGTTCCTCTCCCCCTCTCAGTGGGGTTTTTTGTTTGTTTTATTTATTTGTGTTTCTTTGTTTGTTTGAGAGTCTCCATAGAGCCCAGGCTGGCCTCGAACCTCTCAACCTTTCAAAGTTCCAGAATTGCAAACATGCCCCACCACATTGCCTGACTTTGGCCTGTGTCCTCTTAAATTTGGTACAAATAATACACTTTTCTAAAAAAAAAAAAAACCAGAACAAAATTTAAAAAATTAATCAGTTTTTTAAAAAAAGCCCCCCTGCCTCCTAAATCCTATTTCATGATAGTTGTCTCTAATAGACTGTTTTGTCATTTTATCTAGGCACCAACAGATATTTGTATTGTCGTTGTCTTGCAATAGGCATGCGTATCTATTACTTCAGTGTTAGAGGCATGGAGCCATAACACCACTTTTGCTTTCTATATCCAGCTAGAACTCTGTGGATGCTGGCGTTGCCTGCTTCACTTAGGAACAGCAGCCCCGCGGGCAGCCTGTCAGACACATTGTGCAAGTTACACATTGCCCTGTCTTCCTGTGACAGAGTGTATGTAATTCCTTTTTTCCCCCTCAAATTTTGCACGCTGCGCTGCTAGATCATCCATGCGCTTGCTTCGAATACTTGGACAGATATTTCTGCTGAGTAAACATCCCGATGGCTGTCTGGGTTAGAGGACAAGTACATATGTACGTACGTACGTACGTACGTACGTTATTGCTTAGCAAAACGCCGGCCCCGCTGCCTAGGCGCGTGTCTTTCCTCTCTAGTGTGGTAAGGATACAGGCGCCCTTTCTGGCCTTTGCTGATCCAATATGAAAAGCTTGCTGCTGTCATTGCTAGTGACTTCCATGTCTCCAGACTCGCTGGACTCTCGGAGCTCCTTTTCTTCGTGGACGCCTTGGGCACGCCATCCTTCTTCAGGCCGTCGTTCTCTGGGCTGACGCTCCTCTCCTCTGATCGCTTTCCCGCTGTCCTGCCCTCAGATCTGAGAGGTCTGAGGGATCAAGCCTGGGCCCCCTTCTCTTTCGTCTACACTAGTTCCTGGGTGATCTTTTCCAGTGTGGGAGTTCAAGTTGCCATTTTTTTTTTCTCTCCTAGCATAAAACTCTCCGTTGGTGCTGTGCCCACATAACCCCATATTCACCACCTCCTCTGAAATCCGACGTGTGTGTTTGAGCATCCTTGTTTCTGTGGGGTTCTTACCTAACGACTACAGCCTCACCAAGGGCTCCAAGGAACCCCAGAGCCCCAGACATAATCATTGATTCCAGCTCTCTTCCCCACCCCATAGTCTGGTCACCAGCAGATTATCCTTTCGGTTTGGGAATTCGCCTCACCTCTCTGTTGTTTCGTTTCCAGAATCCCTTTTAGTTTATTATTATTTTTTTTAATTTTAGTGGCCCATATCCTGTAATAACTCCCTGAGAAAAGGGTACATTGGAAGTAATTTCGGCAATTTGTTAATGTTTGAAAATGTTTGTGCTCTTACCTACAGTTTTACTGAGAACACGGTTAAGTAGTGGATTCTACACTGAAAATCATTTCCCTGAGGTGGTTTTGAGCACTGTTCCATTGGCTTCAGCTTTTAGATTTGCTGTTGGGAGCTAAGGGTCTTTCTAACCCACCTTGTTATATTTTTGCTTTGTGGAGACAAGGTCTCATCTATGCCAGGCTGCTCTACCAATCCTTTGGCCAAATCCCAGGTGCTGGGCCATTTTACCCTTTCTTTTTTCTTTTTTTTAAATCAGACAATGTCTCACTATGTATCCTTGCCTATCCTGAAACTTGCTACTTAAACCAGGTTGGCTTTGAACTCATAAAAATTTACCTGCCTTGAGACAGGCGGATCTCTATGAGTTCGAAGCCAGCCTGGTCTACAGAGTGAGTTCCAGAACAGGCTCCAAAGCTACAAAGAAACCCTGTCTCCAAAAACCAAAAACCAAAAAAAAAAAAAAAAGGAAAAAGAAAAAAGAAATTTACCTGCCTTTGCCTCCTGAGTGCTAGGATTAAAAGCCTGTGCCAACATGCCTGACTAAAGGGCGTCATTCTTGAGTGGTAAACACATAACCGATTGAACCATTTCCCCAGCCTGCCCCCTCACATCCCACCTCCCCTATCCACTCACCCCAACCCCTCCAGTTATTTTTTAAAAATATTGTGGAATATAACACATGTACAGAAGAAGTGCATATTCTGTTTGTAAATACACAGCTTTATGAATGATTGTGATGCAGATGCTCATGTCACCCCACCCTGGAGAAGCGAAGTGTTCAGCTGGACTTGGCCATCTGAGTTCTCCAGAATTCTCTGATTCTGCCTTTGCAAGATCCTACCTTCCCCTCTTTTCTTGGTTATTCTTGTACCTAGCAATGCACATCAAAGTTTCTTCTATGTCTTCTCGTGCCTTGGTAGCTTATTTTGCTTTCATACCTAATCATATCCCACTGTCTGTCTGTACCACACTTCATCTCCTTACCTGCTGAAGGACACCAGGGTTATTGTCTTAGGGTTTAATTGCTGTGAAGGGATTGCCATGACCACAGCAACCCTTATTGAGGAAAACATTTAACTGGGGCTGGCTTCTAAGTTCGGAGGTTCAGTCCATTATTGTCATGGCGGGAAGCATGGCAGCATTCAGGCAGACATGGTACTGGAGAAGGAGCCAAGAGTTCTGCATCTGACTCCTCAGGCAGCAGGAAAAGACTGTGAGCCACTAAGCTTGGCCTGAGCTTCAGAAACCTCAAGCCCATGCCCAGTGGGACACTTCCTCCAACAAAGTCCCATGTACTTCGACAAGGCCACACCTCCTAATAGTGCACTCCCTAAGGGCCTATGGAGGCCATTTCCATTCACACCACCACAGTTATTTTCAAGCCTTGATATTTATGACTGAAACTGCTATAAACGCATAGGTGCAGGTGTTCTGGCAACAGATTTCAATGTATCCCGTTTGTTTTGGTAAGCACAAGGGCTTGGCTGCTGCCTGTCTGGTAAATAAAGAAGATTTTGATTTTCTAAGAATCTGCTAAGGGAGCTTCCACCATCCCCTCAGTATTCCCACCATCCCCTCATTCCCACCATCCCCTCATTCCCACCATTCCCTCAGGATTCCCACCATCCCCTCAGGATTCCCACCATCCCCTCAGCATCCCCACCATCCCCTCATCCCCACCATCCCCTCAGCATCCCCACCATCCCCTCAGCATCCCCACCATCCCCTCATCCCCACCATCCCCTCAGCATTCCCACCATCCCCTCATTCCCACCATCCCCTCATTCCCACCATCCCCTCATCCCCACCATCCCCTCAGCATTCCCACCATCCCCTCAGCATTCCCTCAGGATTCCCAACATCCCCTCAGCATCCCACCATTCCCTCAGCATTCCCTCAGCATTCCCTCATCCCCTCATCCCCACCATCCCCTCAGCATCCCACCATCCCCTCAGCATCCCACCATCCCCTCAGCATTCCCTCAGGATTCCCAACATCCCCTCAGCATCCCACCATCCCCTCAGCATTCCCTCAGGATTCCCACCATCCCCTCAGTATCCCCACCATCCCCTCAGCAACCCACCATCCCCTCAGCATCCCACCATCCCCTCAGCATTCCCACCAGCCCAGTCAGTTCCTGTTGTTCCTTTTCCTCACCAGCAGCTGGTGCTGTCAGTGTTCTGGATTTAGTTATTTAGCAAATTAATTTAGTAGGTGGGAAGAGCTGTGGGTAGGAGGTGCCATTACCTTGCTGTTTTAAATTTACAACTTAATGTTGAAGATCTTTCCCTATGCCTGTTTGTAATCTGTGTTATCTTCTTCAGTGAGCAGTCTATTAAGGTCTTCTGCCCATTTTTTAACTGGGTTCTTCATCTTCTTGAGTTTTCAGAATCAGTTCTGTATTTTAGATAATAGTCTCTCTCTGTCTCTGTTTCTCTCTTTTAATTTCCAAGACAGGGTTTCTCTGTGTAGCCCTGGCTGTCCTGGAACTCACTCTGTAGACCGGGCTGGCCTCGAACTCACAGAGACTCTCCTCCTGCATCTGCTTTCAGAGCGCTGGGATTAAAGGTGTACGCCACCACCGCCAGGCAGGTATCAGTCTGAATGTGTCTTTTTCAGATAGTTTCCAATTCGTGGTCTGAATTTTCATTCTCTTGACAGTGTCTGTCACAAGACAGACTTTATTTACTTATATATTTGTTTAATTTATTTAATTGAGATAAAATGTCAGTCTGTAGCCCTATCTGGTCCAGAACTCAGCAGGTTCAGTCTGACTTTGCAGCCTCTGACCTCTGTTTCCTTATGCAGTGATTATAGCCATGTATCACCACACCACATCTGTAACAGAGAATTTTTATTTTAATTAAGTTGAGTTCACTCTTTCTTTCATGGATCCTGTCTTTCATGTTTGTAATGGGCAATCTTGACTGTCAGCCTGATTGGTTGGGTTAAATCACTTTCAGGATAGTAGAGCACTCTTTTAAGTGTGTTTATGAAGATGTTTCCAGAAAGGATTAAATAAGCATCAAAAAATGGACCAAAATGCTGGTATATAGGAAGGAGATTTGAGTTTTGTACATCAATCTTATAACCAACAACCTTGTACTATATATTTAAACTAATCCAGGTCAATTGTAGATAACTCCACACTACTTCATAGATTGTGTGTTTTATAATATCAAAATACTTTGAATTCCTCCCTCATGTGTGCTTATATTATTGGCATAATTTGATTCACACAAACATGTGGTATACACACATAAATAATTATTGAGTACATTCTTTTTTTTTTTTTTGACTGTTCTTATATAACCAGGTGACCTCAAACTCACTCTGTACCAGGAGAAATGTAGGCAGACTTTTTTGTCCCTCCAGCCAGTCCCCAAATAACCACACAGAGACTTATTAATTATAAATGCTCAGCTTTTAGCTAGCTCTTATCACTTAAATTAACCCATTTCTATTTATTTGTGTGCTGCCCTGAGGCTCATTGTCCTCATTCATGTAGGTACTTCCTGTCCTGCTCACTCTGCGGCTCCTCTGACTCCGCCCTTCTCCCCAGCATTCTCTCTGCCCTGAAAATCCTGCCTACCCTTTTTCCTTCAGTCACGTGGTATCTTTCCTTCCAGCTTTTTGTTTGTTTGTTTGTTTTTTCGAGACAGGGTTTCTCTGTGTAGCTTTGCGCCTTTCCTGGAACTCACTTGGTAGCCCAGGTTGGCCTGGAACTCACAGAGATCCGCCTGGCTCTGCCTCCAGAGTGCTGGGATTAAAGGCGTGCGCCACCACCGCCCAGCTCCTTCCAGCTTTTATTAACAATGAGAGAACACATTTTTACAGTGCACAAAAGGATTATTCCACCGCAGAGATGGCCTTGAACTTCTGACCTTTGCCTCCACCTCTGGGTGCTGTGGTTACAGGAATGAGCCAGTGATAAGTTTTTTTTTTTTGCTGATAGACCTCTCCACTGATGCAGCAATCTAAATCAGACCGAATCGGACCTAATTAGAAAAGTCCCGGTTTAATGAGTAAAGTGTTCCCGGGTGATTCTCCGGAAAACCACGTGTCTGTTTTCTGGGATGCAGCTTAAATACCCTGTGGGAGTGGTCTTGAGCCTCTCTGGGGGAGGAGCTGTGTTTGGTGGGCTTTGAAGGGGCGGGTTTGGGGAAAAAGATGGGGGAGGGGAGTTGAGGTGGATCTTTCCCTAGAACAGTCAGCAGCCCAAGTTCATGTGGTGCTGTGGATTAAACCCGGGACACCTATGCTGAGCACACATTCCAGCAATGGAGCATCATCTCCATTACTAGTACTTTGAACACACTGCTGTCTGTTTGCTCTCTGCAGAGGAAGGAGAATGGGTTCCTCCACCCGTCTGTAATGTTCTTCCTTCCTTTATGTGGCTCCTAGGTGCTAACATCCGTTTTCCTTCTTGCTAAAGAACTGTGGACATTTCTTGTAAGACTGATATACCAACAAAATTCACATCTCTGGGGGATGGAGAGAGGGCACGGAGGTCAGGAGCACTTGCTGTTCTGGCAAGGACCTGGGTGTGGCTTCCCAGCACCCACAGGGTAGCTCAGAGTCATCTGGACCAGGAGAGCTGACGCCTTCTTCTGACCTCTTCTGGCACAAGGGATGAGTGCATGCACATACACACGTGCAAGCAAAGGAAATGAACAGGGAAAAAGATTCACAATTCTGGGTTGATGGTTTAAATTCGGCTGTCACTCCATCGTCTTCGTGTTTGCATGGCTTCCGACTGTCAGATGGTCTACCGGGAAGTGGTTTCCCTCTGGTTTCTCTTAGGATTTTGGCTTTGTGTTGTCATTTTCTATCATTTGAGAATGTACCTGGCTGTCGTTTTTGCGGTCATTTTATTATTGGCATTTATCCTGCTTGGTTTTCTTAGCTTGCTTAGACCTCTGGCTGGCTATATGATATTAATTTGGAAAAAATTTCAGTCATTATTATTTCAAGTATTCTGCTCCTTTCTCTTCTCCCCTTCTAGTATTATCTGTCTGTTGTCTCTATGCCTATCTATCTATCTATCTATCTATCTATCTATCTATCTATCTATCTATCTGATGGGTATCTATCTATATCTATCTATCTATCTATCTATCTATCTATCTGATGGGTATCTATCATCTATCTGATGTGTGTCTATCTATCCATCTATATCTCTATCATCTATCTATCTGATGTGTATCTATCTCTATCTATCTATCTATCTATCTATCTATCTATCTATCTATCTATCTATCTATCATCTACCTACCTACCTATCTAGTCCTTGCATATGCTGGTCCATATAGCTCATCATTGCTGTTTTTTTTTTTTTTTCACTTTTTCTGTCTGGACATTTCTATAGTGATACAGTCAAGTCCAGAGAGTCTTCCTTCATTTTGGTGTTTCACACCCAAGTTATATGTATTAAACAGACTCAAAGAAAATAACGCTCTCTTTTTTCTCCACCTCAGGCCTTTCCCCTGGTTTGACCTGTCTGCTGTGCAAAGCAAGGACACACCTTTCAGCCAGCATCTCGCGGCAACTCCTGTCCTCCAGGACCACCTCACTCTTCTGTACTGTGACTACTTTGGCATCTCCCTAACCAAAGAAGAACTACCAGAGGTTTCCCCGGGTTCTTCGCCTCAAGGGGATGAGGGTTGACAGAGAGCCATGCACTGTGCTAAAGAATTGTACTAATGACTTGACTACAGAATAAAAGAGGTCCATATACATCAATATACTTGCTCGTATCTAGCTTTTGAGGCTACCTAGTACATTGCTTCCCCCCCAAAGCCTTTTTAACACAAATTATTACTCTTCTAAATGCTTCTAACTCCAAGCAATTATGTCATAATCAGATAGTCAAATAGGAAAGCTGCTTTCCCCATAATAATATAAAGCTAGAAAATGAGACAGCTAGATTCTCCTACTCTTTTGGGTAGGGAAATAAATGTTGGGTGAGCAGTCTTAGTTGAATTATGATTAATTCATGCTTGTTTTAGTTATACTTGACTATTCTAGGACGGCTATTTAAAGCTGTTCTCATTTAAACCATTTAGATCCACAAAACCATAAACATATTACTGGTAAAGATGTAGCTCAGCGGCGGGGGGTTGGGGTGGTGGTGGTGGTGGTGGTGGTGGTGGTGGTGCTTGCCTGGGATGCAAGAACTGTGTGCTCAGTCATAAGCACCCCATAAATTGGGTGAGGTGGCACCTGCTTGCAATCCTAGCACTTAGGAGGTGGAGGAAGGAGGATAGGACATTGAAGGTTGTCCTTGGCTACATAGTGAATTTGGGTCTAGCCTGGGGTACAGGAGACCATGTCCCCCCCAAACCCCCAAACAAACCCAAAACAATCAACCAGCACTACCACCACTAACAATAAAAAACAAAACAAAGCCAGGTGGTGGTGGTGGTAGTGGTGCATGCCTTTCCTTTAATCCTTAAACGCAGGAAGCAGAGGTAAGTTCAAGGCCAGCCTGGTTCCAAAAAATCGAGTTCCAGGACAGCTAGGGCTGTTGCACAGAGAAACCCTGTCTTGAAAAACCCAACCCAACAATAAAGGCAAAAACCCCCAAAAAAACAAAAAACCAAACCCCCAAAACAAAACAAAACAAAACAAAAAACAAACAGAGATGCAGAGTGATGGCACATATCTATAATCCTAGTGCTAAGAGTCTGCAGCAGGAAGTTGGCTAATCTTGGGCCACAGGTGAGACCCTGTCTCAAAACAGACAGATACAAACAAAAAAGCACACTCAAACCTGGCACTTACATTTTATCCTTAGAGAAGCTTTGCAAAATATTGATCTTATTTCTAGAATGTACATTTGTTTCATGCTTTACAAATATTTTTTGTCAATTATAGTAGAGCTGAAAACAAAAGCAGTGTCGCGCCCCCCCTCCCCCCCCCCCAGCTAGGAAATGAAGTTCCCAGCTTTGTCACTGGGTAGAATCATGTTTTTCTGAATGCTCAGGGGCTTTTGAGCAAAACCATTCGCAATACATGGAAATCACTGTGGTCTTATATTAACCATTTACATTTTGTTGTTTTGCATAATCATTCGCTAAGTAAATCCAATGGTTCCAGAATGTTTTCCTTTTATTTATTTATTTAGGATGGTTTCTGATAAAACTTCCTAGTCTAATTTGGAGGGAAAGTTGGTTTGTCATCAAATACAGATATGTAACACAAATATTAACTTGTCCCATTCAGGTGTGTCGTTAGAGAAGGTCCATCATTGACCTTTTGTACTCTATTCTCACCACAGTGGATTTTAGGAATAAGACCAAGGCACTGAGGAGCCACCTCAGTGGATAACGTGCTTGCTGCACAAAAAAGATGAGCAGAAGAATTTGGATCCTCAGAATCTGAGTAAAGTTGAGCTAGTGGGTGTGGTGGTTGTGTATAATCCGAGAGGTGAGCTAGAGACAGGAACTGCCTCAGGGAGCAAGCTGGCTACCCAGACTAGCCAAGTCAATGCGCTCTGACAGTCCCTGCCTCTGTAAATAATATGACCGTGATGATGGGGAAGACACCTGACATCAACTTCTGATCTCCAAACGCACCCAGACATGTGTGCCCCCTGATAACAGGTACAAACATACACATACACATAAAGAACACACACACACACACACACACACATAAAGAACACACACACACACACACACACACACAAATTTTGGATCTTTAGTTTTGAAGACATATAAATGAATCAGCCTCTTGCCAACTTAGTAACTCAGGACAGTCTTTTTTCAGAGCCTTGGGGCCATCGTCTGAAGTGTGAGCAAAGAGGCAGTTGGTCACGTTGCACCTGCAATGAGGAGGTGGAGAGAGGAAGCTGCTGCTGGATCCCCTTTTTTTTCATTCCCTCCTGAACCCCAAACCATAGTGTGGTGCTGCTCACCTGTCTGTGGGGACCTCTATTACTCCAAGTCTCCCTTCCTTAACCTAATCTAGAAACCTCCCCTAGGCTGTCCCAGAGGCTTGTTTCCATGGTTACTATAAATCCCACAGAGTTGACAACATCAGCCAGGCATATAGAGACACTTTACTTACTTCCCTATCTGTAGGAAGTAAGCCAAGGCAGCATTTCTCAATCTGTGGGTCACGACCCCTTGGGGGTGTCTAACAACTCTTTCATAGGGGTCGCCTGTGACCATGGGAAAACACACAGCTCTACCTTATGATTCATAACAGTAGCAAAATTACAGTTCTGAAGCAGCAATGAAAATAATTGTATGGTTGGGGGTCACCACATCATGAGGACCTGTATTAAAGGGCTGCAGCATTAGGAAGGTTGAGGACCACTGGCCTAGGAGCTTGGTGCCAAGGAGTAACTTACCAAGAACTTTCCTTCTATTTATAAAAAAAAAAAATTCCATTTGGATACAGTAATTCACCTGTATGTAAAAGATTGTACCTGCCTACTTTAAAGAGTAGGTCTCTGTCTTTGCAAGTTCTTTAGTGGCCGCCCTGTGCTCTGCTGCCACAGTTTCATGCTTATTTAAGAATAAGACAGCTCGGGGTTGGGGATTTAGCTCAGTGGAGAGCGCTTGCCTAACAAGCGCAAGGCCCTGGGTTCGGTCCTCAGCTCTGACCAAAAAAAGAAAAAAAAAAAAAAAAAAAAACAAAACAGCTCTTTTTTCTTTAGTGAACAAATAAAGTTTAATTAGGATTGCTTACAAAAGCATGGGTGAGGGGCTACTTACAGAACATGAGCAGCTTATTAGTGGCTATACCACTGAAGGAAATGTCCCTCCTTCCCCAGTAAATTTTGATGCCTGTGGACCCTGGGGGCGGGGATGGGGTTGTCAGGGCAGCCTCCCCAACAATCATAGAGGTTTATGAATCCTCAGGGAGTGATGAGGTCTTCCCCTCACCACATGATGGAAAGCTGACAGACATCTGCTCCTTTGACCGATGGAGTTTAGTTTCTCCATGGCCAGGCTTGATGTAACACGTTAACTACATTGCTATAGCCTCATCTTGCTGTCCTTAATCGGTCATCTAGATGCATTTCTGACATTCTGCACCACATGGCTATCTGGCATCTTCTAATTCAGGCTTCCTGTGTTTATAAACACTGCAAATGTCATGGGATGGTTTCTGGCACAAGGCCTGCATTATTTGTTTCTTGGTAAGTATAGAAATGTTGTCTTTTTCCTTCCAAGTGGGTAAGCCTTTTGGCTCACAAGACTTAGGTATGTCTTATACAAATTTCTATGTGGTAGCATTTTGGATCCTATTGTTTCTCTCTCTCTCTCTCTCTCTCTCTCTCTCTCTCTCTCTCTCTCTCTCTCTATCTCTCTCTCTCTCTATCTCTATCTCTCTATCTACCTACCTACCTACCTATCTAATTTTATGTTCACTCTTGTTTTGCTATGGGTGTCAGGTCTCCTGGGACTGGAATTACAGACAATTGTGAGCTGCCATGTGGTTGCTGGGAATTGAACCCAGGTCCTCTAGAAGGGCAGTCGGTGCTCTTAACCGCTCAGCCATCTCTCCAGCCCCCTCATTTACCGATCAAATGCTTGTGCATCTTTCAACTGTATCTGCTTCTAAGGTTACTTTTTTTAAAAAAAAAAATTTATTAAAGAAATTCCCTTCAAATGTGTCTAAAGCATTGCCCACTTTCTGCTTTGTTACTTTCTAAGCCTAAATTATTTTCCCTTAAACAAACCTTAGAAGATGAACAGCACACATCTTCCAGGAACCACGAGCTGTCCTGAACTGGGCTCTTTTCCAGGAAAGGCCCTCAGTAGCCCAGACAGGCACTGCACAGGCATCTTTCTCCTCACAACTACCACTTGTCAAATTAGGAGGCACTTAAAAAAAAAGATGTGTGTGCAAGCATGTGCCACATGTGTACATGTGCCTGTGGAGGCCAAATGAGAGCATCAGATCCCTTAGAGACAGAGTTGTGCTAAGTGAGGCATCTCTCTAGTTCCTGAAGGTATTTTGTACACGATTTTTTTTTATATGTATGAGTGGGTTTGCCTTCCTGTATGTGCGCATGTGCCTGGTGCCCAAGGCAGACAGAAGAGGGGTTGGGTTCCCTGGAACTGGAGTTAGAGGTGGTTGTGAGCCATGATGTGGGTGCTGGGAACTGAACCCAGGCCCTCTGATGAGCAGCTCTTAATCGCCAAGTCATCTCTCCAGCCCAGGAAGGTACTTGCTCTGAGGGCTCTGCCTTTGGTGTTACAGTGAGTCTTCCTTGGAACAAACAACAGTTTTGGGTATTTTGTGTTTTGTTTTTTTTGAGAATTTTTATGAACACTCTAATTTCTGACAGGTTTGTCATATTTAACATTTCCTCATGCTTTTGCAAAAACAGATGTCCTGAATGAATGCATCTTTTCTCACAAATATTTTTTAAATTAGTGTGTGTGTGTGTGTGTGTGTATGTGTGCGCGCGCATGTGTGGTGATGTGTATGTATGCACACAGATGTCAGTGCTAACTTTAGGGACTTGGCTCTTTCCTTCTGCCACGGGCTCTAGGGATTTGACTCGGGTCATCAGGCTTACATGGCACGAGCTTTTTACCCACCAGGCCTCATTGACAGGCCTGTATGTACCCCCTCTGTCACATCTCTTGTTCATTGCTGGTTCTTCAGTTGTTTCTTACAGATGTGAAAATGGAGGATTGACTTCCCTAGTCCAAGTCTCAGTGGCCTTTTCTGTCAGAGTGCGTGAATAAGCCTTTCGCGCTTGTCCTCCTGTCTCCTCT